TACATACGTACATACGTACATACGTACATACGTACATACGTACATACATACGTACATACGTACATACATATATATATACATACATATAATTAAACAGCAGTGTATAATTATAATAGCAATCTTATATATAATTATCCGTATTAAAATAATTACTTGTACACAGGGTTGTAAACCGAATCGAACCGTTGAAGTTTGTACGCTCCGAGAGAACGGATCACAATTTGAATTATAAAATCTCTCCGATCCGGAGCAAACCGTTGTTTATTATAATTTAAAATGCTCCGGTATCAAACCGGAGCATTAAAAAACCGGTTTTGGAGCGGTTTCTTTATTTAAAAAGGAGTTATTTAAAAACAGAAAAATAGAATAAATTAATATATATTATGATTGATATACTAGTATATATTGTGATATCAGATGTGACGTTTTTATACGTCCGTCACAAGGGCGCGGAAAGAGAGAGCGCAAGCGACACGAGCGCTCGAGATTGGATGGGATCTCGCTGCTCGCTCTTGTGATGTTTTGCGTTTTGGCGTTTGTGTTTACTGCCGAGACCTTGCTAAATCCCGTGCGCGTAGAATTTTGCGTAGCAACCATGAAACGTTGTCATAGGAATACAGTCTTGTGTTTATATAATAAAACCAAACACTATTACTTTGATCGTAGTCCTTCGCTTCGCTTTCCAATTTTCATTTAGCAGTAGACAGTTGTTACTGTTGCTAGCAATTGAGCTGGTGCTCCGCGCATTTTCTGTGTTTTATATTTATATATATTGAATAGTATATATAGTTACGTATAGATTTGTAATCTCCAATTAATATGGACGACACTAACGAAGAAATTGCAAGAACCGAATGTACAATGCGACCTGCAAATTTTGTAGGCATTTATTTTGATTATAATGAAGAAACCTGTCGATCCAAATGCAAAGTTGCTGGATGCTCTACAAGTATGCAGGTAAAATTAATTTCTATTTGTTACTGAATTGTAGTTTTAATTATCTTCATTAATATAAATCAGAGATATATTAAGATTAAGATTCATAAATTAAAAGTACAGAAAAGTTTCGAATTTTCTAATTTATAAATTATAAATTATAATAAATTTTTTATAATCACATCATTGAAATTTTGAAATAATTTATTTTTTATCTTTTGCTACGTTTAATTATTACCATTAACACATTTATGTATACATTCATGTATAGTTTTAAAGAAGTTAAAATTCGATTAGATGAAATTAAAATCAACTTTGTTATATTATAACGTAAATTTACTTTCAACGATTTATGTAATATATTTATTATTTAACTTAGGGGAAGCATACTGCAAATTTGGAAAGGCATATTATGCGTAAGCATCCTGTCGAGGCACAAATAATAACTAGCGAACGAATAAAGCTTCAAAGAGCGCGTGATCGAAAAAATAATATGCAAGATTTGGAATTGGATGTTACAAGTACGTATGCAAAAAACTAAGTATTTAATTTATATAAATTTTAAAAATAATAATATAGCATAGAATAACGTATAATATAAATCTTTTTAGCTATAAAATTTCATATAAATTTTAAAAACTATATTTCAATTTTTTTTACTTAAGGCTCCTGGGTAGTCACCGCAGCCATATTGAATTTCTTGCTATTGAGGCGAGAAATTACCCTATTTTATGTTGCGGTATTTTCCGAAATAAAAAGACATTTCAATAAAAAATCGCTATAGATCGTTTCAGCACACTTCTAAAATTGACCGGATACTATCCTTTTCCTTCGACAATAAACAAAAAGCCATAAAACGAAGCCTAAACATACGGAAAACAAGCCGTTTTCGACTATCGAAAGGAGTGGAGAATGTTCCTTCCGCATATGTATTTCTTGCAAATTTTACCATACGGTCAATTTTACGAGTTTCATGAATACGTTAAACGTTATAGCACAAGTACAGAGCGAATAATAAAGAAATTTAACGCAACGCAAAATAGGTTGTCAACATGTCACAAGACAGAATTCTCCATTGGAGAGAGTGAGAGGAGAGAGTTCTTATTTCTGCCGCGACGGTGCGGTGCCACCGTCAACGCAGAGTTCTCGGCTCAGGGACCAGGAGCCTTAACTGGCTAATTTTTAAGATAAAATTTTAATTTATATGTATTGTGCAGGTAGTAACTCATCTTCGTCACTTGCATCTACCGAAAAAATTTCAACAAATCGAAAAAGAAAAAGAACTTCCGTGTCCGTTGAAATTGATTATAATGAAATAATCGACGCTTGTGTTGAAATGACTACTGTCAATGGACGAAGTATAAATTTTGTTGAGGATAGTGGTTTCAAACGCATTATCGATCCAATATTGAATGGCCTTACTAAGGATGGACCTAAAATCGTTGTAAATCGTGAAATTATTAAACGACAAATTACTACTGAAGCACAAAACATTCGTGAGGAAATACTCCAAGATGTGAAAGGTCGTTTAATTTGTGTTAAAATAGATAATGCGACTCGATTAGATAGATCATTAATGGGTATAAATATTCAGTATTGTAAGGAAGGCAAGCTTATCATACGTAATATATGTACGAAAGAGTTAGACTGTACGCACACGGCTGAAAATTTGAAAAGAGAAATTATAATTGAGCTTGATAAATGCGGGATTTCTGAAAATATGATTTATTGCGTGACGACTGATAACGCGGCCAATATGTTAAAAACGATTAAATTACTAAGTGACGATGTTTCCTCGATGCATGTTGAAAGTGAAACAAATGAAAATAACGATGAAGAAATGAATGAAAACATGAACAGTAGTGACGAAGATAGCGAAGAAGAAGGAAGTGAAACTGAAGATGAGGAGAGTAATGAGAATATTTTGGAAGAAAACTCAACCAAATCGGTAGAAAATGATTTATTTTTAACTTTTGATAATTTACCAAGTAAATTTTCATCTGAAGGTGTGATTGGGCAAAGATGTGTGGCACATACTTTGCAGCTTGCAGTCGAAGATGCTGTTAAAAAAAATGATATACGTGAATTATTAACGAGAGCAAGAAGCCTCGTTAAAAAACTTCGCACACCAACAAATTCAGGTATCTTAGTTGCAATTGGAAGAAGAAAACCTACACTCGACTGCCCGACACGTTGGCATTCAATGTATGACATGATTTTAAGTTTATTGGCTTTCAGATTTATGCCCGATCAAATTTTATCAGCAAATAAGAAATCCAAATTATCAAATCTGTCAATTAATGATTATGATAAATTACAGTTGATAGTTGATGCCTTAAAACCAGCAAAAGTTACCACGAAAAAATTACAGGCAGAGCAACTTCAGGTTGGCGATTTCATACAAGCGTGGTTGATGTGTAAACATAATACAAAGACTATCGACAGTTCGTTAGCAAAAGCACTGGTCACTGCTATGCAGGAGCGAGAGGTTAAACTAATGGAGAGTCCAGCTTTGCTATGTGCAATTTATTTAGATGCCAGATGGCAAGTTCTGCTTTCTGAGACGCAAAGAGAAACTGCAGTAAACCATCTCGTTTTTGTATGGCAGCGATTACAAGCTTTGAAAACGATTGAAATTAGTACACCATCTAGTACGTGCCACGATAGTGCGCTTAGATCACAGAGCACAGAAAAAATTGAAGACCCTCTAAAATTAATGTTGTTAGAAAAAGAAAATTCGCGACAGACGCAACATACAAAAACTAACAAATCTGACATTAAACACTTTCTTATTAACTTTGGAAATGAAGAAAGAATTAAATACGAGGAAGATATATTTCTATACTGGGAGAAAAAAAAAGTCACTTGCCCTGAACTTTATGAGCTCGCAGTAACTGTATTAGCTCTTCCAGTAACGCAAGTAAGCGTTGAAAGATTGTTTTCTAATCTCAAATTTATTTTAAATTATTTGAGAAATAAAATGTCATGTACTCTTCTGAATGACATTTTGTTAGTTCGATGCAATCGTATTTTTGGTTCTAACAAAAAAACGTAGCAAAAAAAAAGAAAATTACAAAATAAATTGCGAAATTAGATTTTATTTTTCCACGTTCTATCTGATGCTATAGCGCTCATGCGACAATTTGTTAACACCATGTATTATATTGTTCCGTTCCAGATTATGACATTTCAAAAATTTCCACAATGTTGATTACCATAGATAACAGCTAATTCTAGAGATCAGCTCTTATCATAAAATGATTAGTTTTCCCGCTTTTTCGAAACACAAAATCGTTTTTTGTTGCGTTTCAAATTGTTTAAACATAAATCGTCACTTTACAAATTATTATTCAACAAGTGTATCATTTTGTGTTTGGATTTATTTGTTAAATAAATGACATATTGTTATTATTTTGTTGGCGCAAAATTTAAGAACCCTTATTTGTTCATTCTTTGACTGACAAATAAACACACACATACACACATATATGTATATGTATATATAATACCTATATATAATATGTATAACATATTAAGGTATTAATTTATTCTCTTGTTCTATATGTAATAATTAACTCCTTTTACATAAAGAAACTGCGCTAAAACCGGTTTTTTTAAATTATAATCCAAAATGGTTTGCTCCGAGCAATTTTAGCTCCGTTCTCTCGAAACGTATATACAAATTTTAACGGTTCGGTTTATATCTCAGGTTACAAATAATTTACTTTATAAATTCATCCGGTTTTTAGAGCTGTTTTTGAACTCAAACCGATTAAAAAACGTTCCAAAGAGCATATTTTTACTCCGGTTTTATTATGTATTAATTAACTCCTTTTTAAAAAAACCGTTCCAAAACCGGTTTTTTATGCTCCGGTTCAATACCGGAGCAATTTTAAAATTTGAAATTTGCTCCGTTCTCTCGGAACGTACAAACTTCAATCGGTTCGGTTCAGTTTACATCTCAAGTTCCAAATAATTTACTCCATAAATTCATTCGGTTTTCGGAGCGGTTTTTGAACTCAAACCGGTTCAAAACCGCTCCAAAGAGCATATTTTTGCTCCGGTTTTTAACCCTGCTTGTACATACCTTTAATTCTAAGAATTATCGCTGAATAATAGCCAGCAATACGACGTCGATTACTTGTACTTCTCTTTATTTTGTCTACGTAAGCAATTTTTCCTTGCTTTTTCAACAAACTTTCAGGGGTAATAATGGGATTACTACTCCAAAAAACCTGCCGCCGAGAGTTCTCACAAACTTCTTCCGTTGTTGCATATTCTATAAAGGAAAACGGGACTTCCCCTGTTGATCCGTCGAAATCGTATTTAACGTGAGCCCACTTCATGTTAATATCACAAAAACTTGCACGTTGTAAAAGAATTAATTCTTGTAATGAAGTATACAAGTGTAAAATACACGAAACTTTTACGCGGCAAAAGGCATAAACGCTGCTTTCACTGGTTAGCTTATTTTAGGTTAGAGAGCGGGCGGTAAGAATACCGCCAATTGTGCATCTGCCGATTATCTACCGATGATCATCGCACGATCGAAACGCTTGTTTTGAACACGGATGTGATTGGCCACGGTGAAGCATAAAGGCCTGTGACCAATCACAGGCTGCTATGCATAGACGCGAGCAACCATAAGTGTGTGTTATGGTCTCTTGCGAAATACGAGTCTTTCTCGAAATTTTGTTTGATACCTACACAAGACTTTGCAAATAACACTCACGATATTGTGCTGAGATATTTCAAATAATGCCTAAAAGACCAAGCGAATAGAAGGAATGGATGAAGGATCCTAACCCAAAAGAACCGAAGCAAACAAAACATTCAAGAAAAAAACGTCAACAGAAAGTTGCTGAACAGGTATGGTTTTTCTTCATTTCTGTGATGTAAAAATAATAATCGATTTTTTACAGATTCAATAAAGCCTTGCTTATTATCTGTAATAATTAAAAAAATATTAAATAAATTAGATTTATAAAAATTTATATTTTTTAAGGTTAATAATTTAGAAAAATTAGCAATTCGTCATCTTACATCCCTTTTTCCTATATTTATTGAACATCAATACTATGAACTATATATATTCTCAAGAAATTTTAAATATATAATCAATTTAATTAAAGTCATTTAGCTGCACACAGTACCTGCTAAATTTTTAATAAATACCTAAATAAGACTTTATACATGGCACTTATTATATTATACATGATAATATATGATTATGATTATGACATATGATTATTTAAGTACAGATAAAGTTATTGACAATTTTAATATTACTTTGTATACAGGAGCAAAATGCAGCTGTATGCCCACAAATAGGAGCTCAAGTTATAAGTATTGGCTGTACTTCTGCCGAAAGTATAGATTTGTTGGAAACGTCTACTTGTGACTCTCAAAGAAATAATGAAGAGCTCATCTTCAGTGAGGTAAAATTCTGGAGAAATCTTCACTTTTGTAATATATGTAATTATTCATAGACATTTTCTGCATATATATAGATTTTGTAATAAAATAGTGTAATCTTTATTAAGCATTAAAAAATATATATTGTATAGAGAAAATCTTAACAAGAAAAAGTTAAGTTTTCCGAAATATCTTAACATTGTTTTCTATTTTTAGGAAATTGACAGAGATTCTACATCTTGTATTAATGAAATCCCGCAATCATGTTCTTTACTTGAAGATGATAGGAACGAGGTAAATAAACACTTATTTATTATTATGAAAAAAATGCTAACTTTCCTCAAATAAAGTAGTGACATTTACTTCTTAGTACTCAGCTATGTATACTCGGTAAAATAAATGTAATTTGTGTTGAATATTTTATTCTATTTTTGATATAATCTTTTTCAATTTATTTGACTTGTATTTTGTGTATCTTGTTCCCCGCAGGATCAATGTGAAACTCATATACTTAATGACGAAGATGCTGTGGAAATTAATAAAACTATTGATCAGAAGATTCGTCCAGACTTGAATATGCCTTTATGTGGTGAAGTCAGTACCACAAAATTTGAAGTTCTACTTATGATCCTTAATTTTACGTTGAGACATGAAATTACGGATGTAGCTGTACAAGATCTTTTGAAGCTTATTAACTCCACTTTTCAAGAGAAAAAAATTGTTGAAACTGAACATTGTTTTCGAAGTATATTTAAAACTGAACTAAAGCCAGATTTTCATTTTTACTGTAGTAATTGTAACACTTACTTGGGAGAACATTCCATTCCCAAAGAAAAGAGATGCAGGCAAGACATTAAATGTCCTATATGCAGTACAGACTGTAACATTTCCAAAATGAATAATGGACATTTCTTTATAACTTTTCCTATGGCAGAGCAAATAAGGACATTATTAGAGACAACCGAAAATGTAATGGAATTGTTACGGTACAGAGATAAATGTCTAAATGAGAATGATATATCAGATACGTTCAGTGGAACAATCTATAGAGATTTATGTAAAAATGGGTCAATCTTGAGCAACAGAAATAACTTAAGCATAACTTTTAATACGGACGGGTGCCCTGTTTTTAAATCTCGCAAAAATACATTGTGGCCAATCCAATTTAGACTGAATGAATTTCCACCAAAAGAGCGGTTTGCATTAAAAAACACAATGATATGTGGACTTTGGTTTGGAGATAAAGATCCAGATATGATTCAATTTCTTACCCCTTTTTTATGTGAAACCAAAAAACTGTACTCTGAAGGAGTAAATTGGACATCTCCAACTGGAGTTCACATCAACAGTAAAATTGTTATTTTAAACTGTGTTCTTGATTCCATAGCAAAGCCCCTAATTCAGCGAATAAAGCAATTTAATGGTTTATATGGATGTAGTTACTGTACTCATCCTGGTTACGGTTTAATGCCATCTGCTGATCCTGATACAAGTCCAATTACAGTTAAATATGCTATGGATGTAGGTGATAATTGTGTTATCAATATGCTTCAAGATAATAGTCTTATTTACACCGTGACGCGAATTGAAAATGCTACTAATATCACAAAAATATATGAGGTTGAAGATCGAACCAATGACGGTATTAGGAAAGATATGTTACACGTTGAGCAAACTGGTATAGAATTTCGTGGAGTTAAAGGTGTCCCGTAGCAGTTCTTTTAACATTTAACCTTGTTTATGGATTTGTATTAGATTATATGCATTGTGCCCTTTTAGGTGTAATCAAATTTGTCACTTGTCTGTGGTTAGATAGCACATCTCATAATGAAAAATATTATATAGGATTAAAACGTGATGATATTGATAATAGACTTTTGGCAATAAGTCCACCTTCAAGTTTTCCAAGGCTTCCTAGATCACTTAAAGAGCGTTCTTTTTGGAAAGCTAATGAATGGTGCGCGTGGCTTCTTTATTACAGCCTGCCATGCTTGAAAGATATTTTGCCTTTGAAATATTACAAACACCATTGTTTACTTGTTTCTGCTATTTATACTTTACTTCAACACAAGATTTCTATTTCTGATCTCGATAATGCTACTTGGAATCTAGTTCAATACGTAACAGATTTCCAAAAGCTGTATGGCTCTCAGAATATGACATTTAATGTACATTTGTTGCTGCATTTAGATAAAACGGTGTTAATGTTTGGGCCATTATGGTGCTATTCTGCATTTTCATTTGAAAGTGGGAATGGATTTCTTCTAAAGCTTGTACAAGGAACGCGTGGTGTCCTAACTCAAATTGCTCGAAAGTACACATACCTTCAGTCACTTTCTCGGTTACTTGGTAAATACGATATTAGTGATTCAACAATAAATTATTGTTCAACAATATTCAACTACCATTTACAAAAACATGTAACAAAACTTGCTAATGTTACGTTGCTTGGAAAAGAAGTAGAAATTCCCCTTACTGTTGAGGAGACAGAAGCCTTTATTAAGAAAGGAATACATATAACACATTTATGTTATGAGAGGATGATAAAAGATCATGTCAAATATCATTCCCGATGTTATGCCAAACAAGGAAGTAAAACAATTGATCATATTGTTAAATTAGATGATGACACGTATGCCTCTATTGAAAGAATTTTTGTCAGTTTTTTGAATGAACAGACACCATCAATCTTTGTTCTTTTGACTACAATTATTTTGGAAGATACAGAGTTTGTAGGATCATATCCTTCACGATGTAAAGTTTCTCATATAAAGTTATGCTCTTTTTACATGTTTGGAAGTTTAAAAATTTGCCCTGTACAGAGTATTGTCCAGAAAGCTATCATGATAAATTGTACCAATAATGAATCTTACATTGCACAATTTCCTAATACTTTTGAGGGTGACTGAAGATATATGTGTGTGTGCGTCTGTGTGTGTGTGTTAGAATAGCATAATAATTTTTACAATAAATTAATAATTTGTACTTAAATATGTAAAATGTTTTGTGATGTACGTATTAAAAAAAAATATAAACATATTATCTATACTTATTTGTTTTCATTCTTCATATTTTTATTACATAAAGAATATCCGATAATAAACATTATCACCGCTGGTGAAATATATAAAGAAAGATTATTATAGTGTTATTGCATGAACGACAAATCCGCATAATATTTTGTCAATCACTTATCGACGTACAGTCGACATCTATAGAAGTATACATATCGATTTGATATATAGAAGATATCGTATAAGTGTCGATCAATTATTGGGGATTTAGTTGATGTGTAGAAGATATCATATTCAAGTCAAGTCGATATATGGAGAAGTTGATTCGACTTCAGTATGATATCAGTTGAATGATGACTAGATCATCGACATCTACATAATATTTTCCAGATATTGCGATGAAATCTTCGAAATATCAAATTGATTATTGATTTGCATATGATCTCTACTTGATTTCAACATGATATTTATCAGATTCTTCATCGACTTGTGAACCCGGGAGAGTGTATGTACATATGTGAAGTAAACTATATAGACTCTGATAATAGCGCAGATACGGGTTTTCTCACTAATTTTAATAAAATTTATATTCAACCGACGTATTTTTGCCTACTTAAAAACAAAAGTTTGAAAAGAAAAAAGTATCGCTGGTGCATGGCTCTAAAAGTAAAAATTAACCGCTAAAGTTGGCGTGATTGAAGGTTATGAATCCTGTCATACCTACGATATGTAGCGCTTGCTTATTTGCTTAGCCTCCGATAGTCATTCACAGTAGCACGGAACCCACGAAACCACAGTGTGACGGAACCACATGGCATAAGTATAAAGAACAGATTCTATGCATAAACTAGGCTGCCAAAATCACAGCTTAAGTTAACGGCTTCTAAATTACCGGCATATGGTTACGGCCTCTATAAATCAGCCTTTACTAGGTTTAGGTAATGCGTTTCCTTGGCTCCGGCATTCCCGTCCATAATGACCAGTTTTTCCGCATTTAAAACATTGTACGCTCTGATTTTGGGGCTGTCTCGTATATCCTGGCTTATTTTTGTATAGCGAGGCGCCCGTTTTTGTCGTGGTCGGCCCTATGAGCTTTTCTTCCGCGCTCGCTCCCGTTATGGCTTCTTGTAACGTCGCATTATTCTGCGAACGTACAAGTATTTTTAATTCGTCGCGCAATCCTATTTGAAAATTAATTAAAGCTTGTTTTTGTATCGTTTGCTGGATCGCGCGTTTAAACATACTGGAGTGATCTTCTCCTTCTATCATAGCGTCATATAGCTTCATGGCTAGTAGATCGACTCGTTGCCCAAAAGCATGTGCGCTTTCGTTTGGCTCTTGCTTGAGTGTATTAAACTCAATCTGCAAATGGGTAGTGCTCTGCTTGGCTTGATAGCAATCTTCTAATTGTTGCTTTAATTGAGCGAATGTTTGTATATCTTGCGTTTCAAAATCTTGCATTGCCTTTCCTTTTAATTTTGTATATAAAATCGCCTGTACTAATGATTCTTCGTCTGTAGGCTGTATATTATGTACCGCATATGTGCACGCGTTTATAAATTCTTGTAATTTTTGTCGCGACGTCCCATCGAACTCAGGGATCATGCTTCGTGCTTCTTTTAACGTTATAGAATTCGGTATGGAACTACGCCGATTTCTTATATTGTGTTCCGTCCGTCCGTAATTTTTGCTCGAATATCTTCCGTTTCCGGCTCCTACTTGGTCGCCGTTTCGTGCACTATTTTCTAGTGTTATTAACCGTTCTCGTAATTCGCGCGTTTCGTCACGCATTTTCATACGCGATTCCTCTTGCATTTTCTGCATTTCCCGTAATAAATTGTATATTTCTCTTACGTCGTGCGTTTCCGTAGATAGCGGTGCGTACTGTGCGTCAGATTGTGACTGTGCCATTTCGATTTCCTTAACTTGCGCTTGTGGCTGGTTTGTGTGAGTGCGTTCTTCTAATAGGGGTCTTTCCATTCGCGTCTCTCCGCCGTTTTCCCGATAGTATTCGCTCGGGTCGAATGTATCGCTCTCGTAAGAGGTTAATGAAAATTCTCGTCGCGAGGATACTCTGCTAGGGGTTCGGCTAACGTATGGTCTGCTTCTACGCGGTTTTTCGTCCGTCCGGTCAATGGGGTCGTTTGAGAATAAACCCTCGTCAATCTCACCAAACGGAAACTCGCGCTCAGTAACAACGTTTTCCAGTAACTCGGTTTCGCTGTCCGAGTGTCGCGTTTCTAATGCTACACGAACGTTATCTAAAGTCGCTTGTGTTGTCGCGCGCGGACTATTTACCCGTAGTGAAAATTCGTTGATTAACCACGACGCATTGGCTATCGGCGTTCGGGGAGGACTATTTTCTCCCGACATTCACGCGTAGTACAATTTTAAATTTTCTCGACTTACATTAGAAGTACGGCTCGCATGGTCGCTCGCAGGCTCCGTTGTTTGCGGCTGGCCCTGGCGTGAAGTAAGATGCTGGTTGTCGAACGCAGTTGCTGCTTCTCGTTGTTCGCTGCTTTTGCGTTGTCCGATGCTTGGCGTCGTCCGCTGCGTTGGCGTTGCCCGCTGCTTGGCGTCGTCCGCTGCTTTGGCGTTGTCCGCTTCTTGGCGTCGTCCGCTGCTTTGCACTTGGCCTTGGGTGTTGGCCTTTTATTTTCTTTTCGCCCTTTGGTGTCCTTGAGGATGCCTTGATCGATCTCTTTTGGCTCAGTACCATTGTGGATACCTTGGTCGCTCTATACCTTGGTTATTTCCGCCGGTCGATCTGATTCTTGGTCAATCCACAGATGTTCCACCGTACTTATTTCCTTCCTTGTTAGTCGTACTCAGCGGTAACTGGTAGACATTATTTGCGTACCTTAAGCAGGCTTGCTGTTGTCTTTCCTAGTCGTCCTGATGCTTTGGTCAATCCCACCGCTGCCACCAAATTATGTTATGCCGCGTCGCCGGTTGGTGACGGCTTACAGCAAAACGTTTATTATTTTCGGGATCTCTTGACCTTACGAGTTAGGATTCGGTAGGCACAGGCGGGCAGACTAGGAAGCGGTCGGGTTCGCAGGTGGAACGGGGGTGTTGGCGTCGTTAAATAAACTTCACTTCGTATTACTTTTTATTGGAGCTTTATTTCAGCGCCCCTTTTACACTCACTAACTTACACTTGTATTTGCCTTTCACAATTACTATAACTCGCACGCGCTTTGTTATAATGTAAACCTTCGCGACACGACTTACGAGAACGGTCACGGGTAGAGTCTCCGGTGTATTACTCTCCGTCGCGGCTTCTTCGACGGTCCCTTATATTGCTTTGAGTTATGCCTTGTCGGCACTTTTCCGCCGGGTTCGACGGTCCCCCGAATGAGGTCGGTCAGTGACCGAGCGCATTCGCAATCTCGCTGTACTCCCGCGGTTCCGCGATTGTCGAAATGCGTTGTCGCACATTCCTATGCATCTCGCAATATTGTGTCGAAATGCGTTGTCGCACATTCTTATGCATATCGCAATAGTTCGATTGACGCGGAAGCTTGATGAACTTCCGCGTTTGCGTCAGCGTAAATTGAGGAGTCTTTCGAAAGACAATTTCCTCGAAGTCTTTCAAAAGGCTATTCTATAATTTTATTATAAATAATTTAATAATTACCCGTTGTAATTTTAGATTACAACAGAGCGTTTCTGGGACGAGTGAAAAAAGGGAGCGGAAAAAAGGGGGAGAGCTCTCAACCGGAGTTCAGATGTTGTTCTCGATAATATACAATATTTTACGGATGTATCTATCGCCGATCTAATTAATCGATTTCCGAGACGGTCGACAACGTCGGTTTCAAAACGCGGCCAAGGGACGTTAACGTTCGCGTACGCTCGCGTGACCATATCCGTTTTGCGGCGAACGTACACGCAAAAAAGTCGCCATATGCACAGACAGTGCCGAGCCCCGCGGCGAGACACTACCGCCTTTCCTTTCGAACCGGTGTGCGCCGGCATACTCGCTCTCGGTGTTGAGCTCCACTGGAAAGTACGTAGCCGCCTTTACCGGTCGCACACGCGTGTACCGGGATATGTATACGCTGTGTTCACAAGACATCGTCTGCGCATGTCTCTAGACACTGCTCTCGGAAGGGAACGTTTACTTCGATTCGCCATGCTCGTTCAGTGCCGAGAGACAAAGGTCGTGTTATGATCGCAGATGCTCTACTGTCTTTAAAAAAAATGTAGAGAATACGTGTATGATTTTTATTGTTGTAATGAAGTTGTTTTTTATTTCGTATATTAAAAAAGAAGTTAATTATAACAATAAAATTCATATACGTAACCTAATCGACTGTAACTTTTCAAAACATATCATACTATTATATAAAACCCGACTGTTTGTCTGTCCGTCCGTCCGTCCGTCTGTCCGCGAACTACTCATTCGTTAGTGGACCGAATTTTTATCAAGGGTACATGAAATAGGGGTAGAATTTTCCGGGGAGTGCCACTATGTGTATAGTTTTTTGTTACCGATTTTCTGGAAACCGGTTTTTCTAATTTTTCTAATTTTTCGGAAAATAATTCACCGAATTTCAAAGAATTGTAGATCAAATAGGGGTAGAATTTTCCGGGGAGTGCTATAAAGTGTATAATTTTTCGTTACCGATTTTTTTGGAAACCGGTACGGAAATTTTTTCAATTTTTCGGGAATTTATTGACCGAATTTTAAAGAATTGTATATGAAGTAGGGGTAGAATATATTTTACGGGGAGCGCTATAATGTGTATAGTTTTTGTTACCGATCTTTTTGGAAACCGGTTTTTTTAATTTTTCGGGACATAATTGATTAAATCTCAAAAAATTATACCTGAAGTAGGAGTAGAATTTCCCGGAGAATGCTATAAAGTGTACTGATTTTTGTAACCGATTTTTTTGAGACCGGTTCCGAATGATCATATCTCAAAGAATTGTACATACAAAGTAGGGGTAGAATTTCCCGGAGAGTGCTATAAAGTACATAATTTTTCGTTACCGATCTTTTTGGAAATCGGTATCAAAAATTTCGAAATTTTCGGGAAATAATTGATCGAATTATAAAGAATTGTATATATTGTGACGTGACAAGTCGCGTCTCCTTCCCGGACGGGCTCGGCCGAGGGGAATTCGGAGATGCCTCCTCGTTGGAGCGAGAGGGGGGCGGTTGCGTGTATTGTTTGGTCTAATTAGATTAAGTTTTTAAGGGATCGCCGGTGGTGACCGGACTTCAGCTGTAACGGCCGGGGGCCGCAACGAGGAAGGGCAGAGGATGAAAGAGACGGCCAGGGGACATGGCTGGAAGTCGGATCGCCCGGACCTCCCCGCAAGCGCATGAGCGTCGCCGGCCGGAATTCACCCCGCACTCGGTCGTAACAGCGGCGGTATAACGATCAGGAGGACCCAAGATCACCCACGAGCGAAATGCCAGTGGCACAAGGGTGCAGAGGAGCGGCCTAGGGAAAGGCACAGCCCTGGGGCCGTCACCCCGAGGGGGATGTCGGCAGACGGGGCCGAGGCCCGGCCAGCCTGACCCCGAACGCCGACTCGATCATTGCGGCCCGGACAGCCGGTTGAATCGAAAAGCCCGCGCCGAATCGGAGGTGATTGCAGCGGCGCCGCCGAAAAGGGAGGCGCGCGAGAAGCTGAGGCGCCGACGAGAGCGCCCTGGAATGGAGTGGCGCCCCCGGAAGGAGCGGCGCACGTGCGGCCTAGGCGCAGGAAGCGCTAGGATCGGCAATCCGGTCGAGCGACACGCCACAGCGCAGGCGCGGGAAACCGGCGCGATCCCGGCAGGCTATCGTTTCCGTTACTGTCGTACCGGCTAGCGAGCCTAGAGGATCTCCCGGATTTCGAGCTGCCCGGACTACCGAAGGGACGACGCATTGTAAGGTCACCACTCTGGCGTCCCCGCGTTAAGAGAAAAGGGTTCGCTCGAAGCATCGGCCCGTGGCACACGTTGGTTACCGGAGTTACGCAGGATACCTGTGTACCGAGTTAGAGCGTGCGATACCTTGCGCTCGCCTTGAAGTAGAGTCGTGTGGAAAAAGTGCCAGGGCCTTGCCGAGAGTGAGCTCTCGAATGCGTAGAGACCATTTGCGCCCTCCCCGCGAGCACCGCCACGGCCGACAGTCGCGTGGCGTTGAGATGTGTGAATCGAAGTAATCGTGTCGCGTTTATGTAGCTTCTCGTCGAATTAATGTAAGTAATCGTATCGCGTTATTCGTAATCGTGTCGCGTTTCATTGTGATAGAGTTTATGTTCGTAATCGTGTCGCGTTTTGGCCATATTATTTAAGCTCGCAATCGTGTCGCGTCTTGGCCATATTAACGAGAGTGATAATGAGAGTGAGGTCTTGCGTGGCGATAACGGGAGCGAGTTGCGGGTAACGGCGAGCCGCGAGTGGTCATGTAATTTGAAGGGCACTCGCCCTCGTATTTGAGTAACGTATCCGGGCCCTCGAGGACAGCGAATATTGGTTTGGCGGGACGAAGAGATCGACGGGATCGGTGCGGGGCCGCGGAATCTCCGTGCTTGCGAGAGAATTCGGGATTCACGTGGCAAGCCGCGGGATCGTCCGCGATACAAGTCCTTATTTCGTGTTCGGGGGCAATCGCCGGCCAGCGTGGTCGACTCGGCGAGATCGCCCATAATTTTTGCGTCGCGCGGAATCGAGGTGGCCCGGGTGTACGTTGAAGGAGCAACCGAAGGTGCGGCGAGTCGGTTCGTCGGCCTCGTGGCGTAAGTTTGTTGTGAGTTTGAAGCCAGGTACCGCGATACCTGAGTCGAAATCGTAATTGTTTAATTCGTATGTCAAGCTTTGTGTGTTCGTCTGCGTTTATATGTTGCGTTACCGTGTGAAAGATTCGTCATTACCGCGTGCACTTATTGCGTTATTGCGGCATTTGTGCGTCAACCTATCCGATTTTTGGCGGTAATAGAGAAACTCAGACCGATTATATTGATATTATCTGACCAAATATATTCTGTTATTATTATTTATTTTTTTGTGAGTGTGATTAATTGAGTAACGCCTCTCTCCGAATTCCCTGAAAGAGCCCTACGCCCTGAGGTATTGCCGGGAATATCGCGTCGGACATATTAGTGTACGGTGGTGCGATCCGTCGCACCTAGCGCCCAATCTTTTGGTGTCGGAATTAGTTGTGCGTGCTGCCAATCCTCGATAGCCCTCCACCGGATTGCGAGACCGGGGGAAAAAGCGTCGCAATATATATATATACATATATATATATATATATATATATATATATATATATATATATATATTACTTGTACTATAGATGACACGCATAAAATCATTCTCTTGTACGCGGCGTCGTCTTTTTCCAAAATGCGTCTTAATGCTGGTCGCTCAAAACGATCGATTTCTCGATCATACCGATATTTTAATTGCGCCATTATGTACAAAGGTGTTAATACTCTGAAACGTATGGGAAAAATGGGATATTAAATATGTATTCGATACGTTGTTATTGAATTTCAGACATCTTCATATGTGATGGCATGCTTGCAAAACTATTTGCTAAATTACATTCGTAAACGTACATATGCTGATTTCGCGCACGACTTGATCATATATATTTTACAGAAACAGCCTGCGGAGTATATATTGGTATATAAACTTTCGATATTGTATACCTGGGTAGGTCAGTCGAGCCAAACCGCCGTCGGTCCATCGACGCTAATTTCCACACGATCCATCGATAATGATTTTCGACCCAGCCGGCGGGAATGAGCGTTGGATCTACGCCCGTACTGGCGAGAAATGCGCGGTGGAACTCCTCGACTCCCGCGTCGCCGTTCTCGTCTGCAATCAGACACGTGCCGTTGTCCTCCATCTCGATTATTGTGCACACGTTATTGCACACCATCGCGGCGCCGGTCTCGTAAAAGTCGGAGCAACGGAGTCTGTACGTTGCGGCGTTTGTAGCAGTGATATCTAGAATACTCGGCGATATTCGTCGCGCGTGGAGCTCTTGCGAGGAACGCAGCACAGGTGGTTTACCACCGCTAATATCCATCAATGACAAACGAACCGTGGACATGGTTTGCTTGTAAAGATATAGGTGACCCACAACATGTTTCGACCTGTGTTTTTGTTTCGCGATAATTCGCGCTTCCTGCTTCTCCAACGCAGCGGTCCAGCGAGCTTTTAATATCTTTTTCGTATCATTAATGTACGCCATCGTCATCTGAATCGCGCCGTAGTCGTTTACGTCTGTGCTACCGCCTTTTGCTCTTTCATTTACGACTTGCGTTGGTTTTTGCGTATTTATGTTTGCGTCTTCACGCTTTTCGCATATTGTCGCTTTTTGTATACGGTTCTCTTGTAACGCTGTCGTCTCGAACACGTTTTTAGCTGGAATGTTGTTGCTGAGACGAGCTTTTTTCGTTTCGAACGCGCACGTTCTGCCCTGAGGTGTGCTTTTGTCTACCGTAGTCTCGCTTAGTTTGTGTTTTTGCGACGATACGTGCCCCAAGTCAGACGTCTTCTCATCCAGGTAGTCACGGGAGACGACGTCTCGTGCTTGCACGACAGTCATGTTCAAAACCGGTACTTGTTGACCATTTGCTGTTTGCAATCCACCGTGTGGCAATTGTATTAAATCGGGTTTTTTTATTTTTCGGCCGTTATCGCGGGTGTTTTTCTCAGGACGGTCCATTTCTATAAAACAATCTACTTGATCTGCAAATACTGCTTTTGCTCTAGATAATGCGTGTTCTGAAATATTGATAAATGTTCCGCAAGCGGTTTGAAATCCACCCTGGGTTGGACGTTTTATTTCTGGTCTGCTTTTTATCTTTGTGTCGATTTTAGTAGTCTTTGCACAGACTGGTTCTGGTTGCGCATCTACATGTTTGAACGATATTTTTGCTTTCGGTCTCTCTTTAGAAATATCAACGATGTTTCTAGCTGATTGGATTGTAATAATTGCCATTTTTGCTTCTAGTCCTTTCATTTTTGCGTCATGAATATTAGTTTTTTTTGTAACGGTTGTTTTTAACGTCGTGTCCAAATGTTCTGCAAATACGGCCGTTGCTCTGGATAAAGCCTGTTTTGAGATATTGATGGCTTTACCATTAGCAGTTTGGAAACCAACTTTTGAAACTCTTGTTTCCTGTCTTTTTAACTCATTGTCATTGTTATGAATGTCTTGCAATAAATCATTCACGTGTTCTGCAAATAATGTTTTAGTTTTGAACGTAGCTCGCTTGGAATTAACGGGTGTGTCGCGAGTAGTGCTGAATCCAATATTCAAAAAATTTATATCACGTTGCTCGATATCAGAGATATCATTTTTATTTTTAATAGTGAATTTGGCACTGTTTGCATGTTCCGTGAATACGGTTTTTATTGTAGGTGGTGATTTTTTTGAGATATCGATGAGTTTATTACGTACGAAAAACGGTTGACACATATTTTTTACTGTCATATTTTTAGATACAAACGATTTTTCGAAATGTTTTATTACGACATTATTGTTACCGTCGGTATTTTCTGATTTATCCACTAATAACGTTTTCGCTTTTAACAGTGCTTCTTTTGATATATTAATGGGCGCGCCACCAGCTGTTGAAAATAAAATAGCAACGTCATCGACTTCTTCACTTGGACTTTTATTTACTGTTGCACAATTTTTATCTGCGAGTGATGTTTTGGAATATTTTATTAATGCATTGTCATTGGTATTCTCTGATTCATCTGCTAATAATGTTTTCGCTTTTAACACTGCTTCTTTTGATATATTAATGGGCGCGCCATTAGCTGTTGAAAATAAAATAGGAACGTCATCGACTTTTTCACTTGGACTTTTATTTACTGTTGTACAATTTTTATCTGTGAGTAATGTCTCGGAATATTTTATTAATGCATTATCATCGGTATTCTCTGATTCATCCGCTAATAACGTGTTCGCTTTTGACAGTGCTTCTTTTGAGATATTAATGGGCGCGCCATCAACAGTTGAAAATAACATAGAGACTGTACTAGCTTTTTTGCTAGGATTTTTATTTGTAAATAATTTTTTGCGATTTGTAGTGTGTCGTTTGTCGTATGTTTTAATGTGTTCCGTAAATGGTTTTGATTTCACGACGACTTGATTTGCACGGTTGACGGAAACATTCGTGGCAAACGAAGAGGATGACAAGGATGATCTGTTTTTCTCTTCATTAGACGTTTTTTTAGCAAATAATTCAGATGTCCGCGCTTCATCCGTATCGAAGGTACCTGCGAATAGTCTCTTTGCTTTAAATAACGCTTGCTTTGAGATATTAATTGAAGTACCACGCGCAGTAGAGAAACCTATATTTATATTCTCCTTAATGTTCCTTCCTTTGTCAATGTCCTCGATATTCTGCTGCTCATCGTCATATTGCATAACAGTAGTTTTTACGTTTACAGGAATATTTTCATTGTCAGTCACAGCCAATGGATCTGTAGATGTAACAGCTGGGGGGGGATTAGGCCTACGCAGTTGAAGCCTACGCCGTTCTTTCGTCTGAAATGTTAATGATACACGATGGGAACATTTTATATAACTCGACAATAAACTATTCTATATTTATTATATACATAAGTAAGAAAATTTATAAAAAGATGCCGTACTTTTACACGTGAGCCATCATCAGTCATTGGTTTTGTGCAAATCTGTGTCTGCTGCGATGTCTTTAACATGTCGCTACTCCAATGTTGTTGGTTTGTTTTATTTGAAAAGGGTAACAGACTCAACGATGTAGATGAATGTACGGCGGCCATGGTTGACATTCTGTTGTCAATAATTTCATTTAATAATAATCGTTAATTTAGAAATTAACTCAATTTATTTAACGGAAAGCATTATAATTCAATGAATTTACTTGTTCGCAACAATTTTTGTATTATTGTCATTATATTAGACGCTAATGAAATTTTTAAGTATTTGACAAAATAAAAATGTATCTTACATCGTATTGGAACTATCAAGTGATGATAAGGGTGTCTCGAGCCTTAAAATCGAGACATCCTCGGAGACGTTGAATTTAAAAGCATCTGATGCGAATAGGCTCTTTGCTTTAAATAACGCTTGCTTTGAGACATTAGTTGAAGTATCACGCGTAATAAAGAAATCTATATTTTTATTTTTCCCAACGTTTCTTTCTTTGTCAATGTCCTCGATATTCTGCTGCTCATCGTCATATTGCATAGCAGTAGTTTTTATTGTTTTATCATTATCAAAAGTATCATCAGAACATACGTCATTTATGTTATTGAACGAGGCCGTGCAACACAACGCTTGCATAGATGTGTTTAAACTATTAAAGACTGCGTCTGTAACATTTTCTACACTTTCATTATTACATGTGTCTAGACTTTCATTGGGAATTTTTGGCTCGTGATCTTTGCTATCACGTTGCTCGTTATCAGAGATATTATTTTTATTTTTAACAGTGAATTTGGCACTGTTTGCATGTTCCGCAAACACGGTTTTTATTATAGGTGGTGATTTTTTTGAGATATCGATGGGTTTATTATGTACGAAAGACGGTCGACACATATTTTTTACTGTCATATTTTTAGATGTAAACGATTTTTCAAAATGTTTTATTACGACATTGTTATCGCCGGTACTCTCTGATTCATCTGCTAATAACGTTTTCGCTTTTAACAATGCTTCTTTTGATATATTAATGGGTGCGCCACCAGCTGTTGAAAATAAAATAGGAACGTCATCGGCTTCTTCACTTGGACTTTTATTTACTGTTGTACAATTTTTATCTGTGAGTGATGTCTCGGAATATTTTATTAATACATTGTCATCGGTATTCTTTGATTCATTCGCTAATAACGTTTTTGCTTTTAACAGTGCTTCTTTTGAGATATTAATGGGCGCGCCGTCAGTAGTTGAAAATAACATAGGGACCGTATTAACTTTTATGCTAGGATTTTTATTTGTAAATAATTTTTTGCGATTTGTAGTGTGTCGTTTGTTGTACGTTTTAACGTGTTTCGTAAATGGTTTTGGTTTCACAACGACTTGATTCGCATGATTGACGGAAACATTCGTGGCAAACGAAGAGGATGACAAGGATGATCTGTTTTTCTCTTCATTAGATCTTCTTTTAGCAAATAATTCAGACGTCCGCGCTTCATCCGTATCGAAGGCATCTGCGAATAGTCTCTTTGCTTTAAATAACGCTTGCTTTGAAACATTAATTGAAGTACCACGCGCAGTAAGGAAATTTATATTTATATTCTCTTCAATGTTCTTTTCTTTGTCAATATCCTCGATATTCTGCTGTTCATCGTCATATTGCATAACAGTAGTCTTTATTGTTTTATCATTATCAAAAGTATCAGAGCATACGTCACTCATGTTATTGATCGAGGCTGTGCAACACAACTTTTGCATAGATGTGTTTAAACTATCAAGTACTGCGTCTGTAACATTTTTTGCACCTTCATTATTACATGTGTCTAGACTTTCATTGGGAATTTTTGGCTTATGATTGTTGCTATCACGTTGTTCGTTATCAGAGATATTATTTTTATTTTTAACAGTGAATTCGGCACTATTTGCATGTTTCGCGAACACGGTTTTTATTATAGGTGGTGATTTTTTTGAGATATTGATGGGTTTATTACGTACAAAAGACGGTCGACAGATATTTTTTACTGTTCTATTTTTAGATGCAGGCGATCTTTTAAAATGTTTTATTACGACATTGTTACCGCCGGTACTCTCTGATTCATCCGCTAATAACGTTTTCGCTTTTAACAATGCTTCTTTTGATATATTAATGGGCGCGCCACCAGCTGTTGAAAATAAAATAGGAACGTCATCGACTTTTTCACTTGGACTTTTATTTACTGTTGTACAATTTTTATCTGTGAGTGATGTCTCGGAATATTTTATTAATACATTGTCATCGGCATTCTCTGATTCATCTGCTAATAACGTTTTCGCTTTTGACAGTGCTTCTTTTGGGATATTAATGGGCGCGCCACCAACAGTTGAAAATAACATAGAGACTGTACTAGCTTTTTTGATAGGATTTTTATTTGTAAATAATTTTTTGCGATTTGTAGTGTGTCGTTTGTCGTACGTTTTAACGTGTTTCGTAAATGATTTTGGTTTCACAATGACTTGATTCGCATGGTTGACGAAAACATTCGTGGCAAACGAAGAGAATGACAAGGATGATCTGTTTTTCTCTTCATTAGACCTTTTTTTAGCAAATAATTCAGACGTCCGCGCTTCATCCGTATCGAAGGCATCTGCGAATAGTCTCTTTGCTTTAAATAACGCTTGCTTTGAGACATTAATTGAAGTACCACGCGCAGTAAGGAAACCTATATTTATATTTTCCTCAATGTTCCTTTCTTTGTCAATGTCCTCGATATTCTGCTGCTCATCGTCATGTTGCATAACAGTAGTCTTTATGTTTACAGGAACATTTTTATTGTCAGTTACAGCCAGTGGATTTGTAGATGTAACAGCTGGGGGGGGATTAGGCCTACGCAGTTGAAGCCTACGCCATTCTTTCGTCTGAAATGTCGATGATACACAATGGGGATATTTTATATAACTTGATAATAAATTATTCTATATTTATTATATACATAAGTAAGAAAATTTATAAAAAACGATCCCATGCAACACGCCGATGTCTTTTAAACGTCTAAACGACGTTTCGTTCGTACGTTATATGATATGTATTGAAGATGTACCGAAGACGTTCAATAGACGTCTTTTTGTACGAAAAATGTGGCGCCCAAAGATGTTCAATAGACATGTACATCCATTTTTCAGACGTTCTTTGTTGTGACACTAGATCAAGCAGAAAGTGTGCAACGAGGGAAAAATTATAAATACCGATGCGTGTCAAGTTTAATTAGCTTCTTAAGATATGGAGGTGTTTTTTATTTCTATAAAAATGATGTAAAAGATTATATATAAAAGAAAAATTAGTGCATTTTTTATATTAATTTATGTCAAATGTTGGCTCGATTCTACATTCTCATTGCACATTTATCTGCGTTTACACAAATACTTTCAATAATGAATTGAAAATAATAAAATACATACAATTTTCGTACATATAGCAGCACCGATTGAGTGTGGTATAACTTAAACTCGAATTAATTTCTAGAAAATTAGATTCATATTTGTTTAAAAATAAATTAAAAATACTGAATATATTATAAAGTGAAACGTGTAACTTCAAAATCCTTCCTCTCTAAAATGACAATAGGTTTTTTTTTCTTTTCTATACGGTTTTATTGCTATTTCTCAGTTTTAGGTTAAAAATAATATCCGGAATTCATTCGACTTGCCTGAGTTGATTTTTTTCGAACTCATACATATTAAAAAAAAAGAGCACGCAAGCACATGTTAATTAAACATCATATTGGACTAAATATTACTTCAATACTAGAGAAAAGAAGAGATGAAAAGAAAGACGGGAAAGAAAAAAGGGAGAGGAAAGGGACAGAGGTAAAAGAATTAAAGAATGATGAGTTAAAGAATTAGGCGATGGCGATGACATGCAAGTACAAATTACAAATTGCACATGTCAGAGTTGCCAACAAGTTTCGTCTACTTCATTGGAAAAATTAATTGCTAAATCATATTTCATAACAATCTCATTATCGCGTCAATGTTATTTCATAAGCATTTAAAGTCTCAATCGCGAACGGTCGCGAGTTTTAATCTTGGCTACTGTCATTTTTGAGCGATCCAAAATTTCTCTGCGCACTGCATGTGTATGTGACAAAGTTACATCATATAATGGATGCGTTCAGCCGATACTCCACTAGCTTAGCAATCGTGAGTAGTCGCTCGTTTTCTCTCCTTTGATTCAATGGATTAAAAGGAGAAGAAACGAGCGAAAACGAGCGACTGCTTACGATTGCTAGGTTAGCGGAGTATCGGCTGAACGCATCCAATGAAGTCTATATCTATATAACAAACTAAAATATGTTTGGACATCGCGGCCGCAGTTACCTCTGTTCTTGTGATTCCAATATTCGCCATTATGAACGAAACAACAACTGTTTGTGTGCGAATCTTGCTTCTTTTTGAATCACAGCGATTCGTACGAGATAGAGAATTGTAGATAAACTAGCTTTGATAGAAATGTGCACAACCAGAACAATGGCCGCTGCTGGAAAAAACAACGTTGACGAGCGTAAAAAGGTGAAATTTCATGGGCAGTGAAAAGCAGTAGCAGATCGTACTGATTGGCTACAAAATAGAGAAATTCTAGAAACTCGAGAATCTCTCTATTTTGTAGCCAATCAGTACAATCTACTGCTGTTTTTCACTGTCCATGAAATTTCATCTTACATCACGCACGACCGGCATATGACACGTGACACGCAACTAGCACGTCATTCTCGACCAATTAGAACGTGTGCATCAGTGGCGACACTGAATCGCGCCAATGTCTGCGCTCCACGCGAGAGAGACCAATCCTAAGTAAATTAAGCTATAGTAGCTGCTGCGCACGAAACCTATACATACATACTACATGCGAGAATGCGTTCTGATATTTGCTGCTATTAAAAATCTATAGTATTATATATTTATCTATATATTTATATTACCGTGTGTCTCTCGCGATGGAAGATTTTTAATCGATATATTAGCAGAGAGAACACGCAAATCTACATTAGATTGAGTTCAATCGACACATAATCACCTCATTAGAGAGAAACCTTATTTCGCGTCTCGGTTCTCTCAGAGTAGAATCCGGAAATGCTGTTTGTCGATCCCATAGCTTTTTTCCATTGTTAAGAAATGATCTGATTTTAACGTATTTCATCTTGTCTCTAACGATGATAGGTAGTACGCTAATTCTTCTCTTTCTTCTTTTTTTTGCATTATCATCACGATTAGCGAGTAAATAAGATAATAACGAGTCTCCATAATGTTCGATTAAAGGAGTAAGGTCCAAAGAAGGATCCTGCAATCTCATGAGAGCACAAACGGTTAACTGTAATAATTACAAGAAAATTAATAGGAGCAACATCCACACAGAGAAATTAGAATAATATAATATCGATATTAACGGCTATTCGCTGTCAGATAATTAAACCAAAGGAGGTATAATAATATAAAATATTTTGTATGGAAAGTATATGTGTGCGAGCTCGTGTTGGAAAAATATGAAAGGCTGAATGGTCGCTAATAATTCCACCGAAATTATCTTTTTTTTGTAGAGATCAATGCTTTTCGTTTCATTGTTTAAAAGTACATTCTCCAATGTTGATATATATTTAATTGGTTTACAAATATTTAAAGAATTAATTTTTCATAAAAATATTTTGAATAAATGTGCAAGACTTTTAAAATTTCGTATTACTTGTCGGCAATTGGCGGCCAGCGAAGCATCAATTCGAGCACGCAATTTTTAAAGAGTACTTTTAAATTTAAATGTATGAAATTCTGACCCAACAGCACTTCCAGCAATATCTCCGTTAATTTATCAACCTTTGAGCAAACAAAAAGATTAAAGATATTTGCAAATATTTGGATACAATTTACAAGATGTGCATAATTATATTGTATTTGTTTACCGAAATTAAATGATAGGAATAGACAGCTTCGCTGTTACTAGCAATGGCAATTATGAGTTGGCACGCCGCGTGGAAATACATGTATATTGTGCATTGTTTGAGATTATCATAAATCTAGCGATAGACATCAATTTGTCGACGACTCTTTCGTCGCCTAAATGCACGTTGGTAGCATAGTCATTAAGTAAGACCTGGCAATATAAAAAAAAAAAAAATATTGTTTAATATTATTTAATAATAATAATAATATCAAAAGGTATTTTATATCAACGTGTATATGTATTTCTTTGTACCTGAAAGATCTTTTGTGAGCCATTAAATAAAGTTTTCAACACACGTATGGCATAATTGTGACGCGTTTCTGTAAGCCTCTTATCACATGTTTTAAATTCTAGAAAATAAGAAAAAAAATGCAATTAAATTAAAAGATTGTATCGAAATTAGCAGCAATTTCAAATTGACATTATAATTTATTAAATTTATATATAAATTAAAAGACTGATAAATCATAAAAATGTGTTAACTTTTAAAGAACTTGCCTTGCAGAAACGGTACGTTGGTTTGCGACAGGCATATTGGATCATTCATTTGATTAGCGAGATTAACGATAGATTCGCTAGGTACATAAATTTTCGTTTCGGTATGATACTTTGGCATGGATTCTGATGTACCAAAAACTGGATCAGCATCGCACAAGTTGGTGATTACCACATTTACATCCATGGATGTCAGGCGTCTTCTTTTACTGTGTCTCAATCTTGTAACACATTTCTAAAGCGGAATGAGCATCATTATATGACAAACAACATTATATAAGTATTACTCTCTATTAACCCATCAAGGTTCTATGCCAATCTGAATAAAGGATAAAGTGTCGAATAGGAATTTTATTGTATTTACATGTAGAATTTCTTGTAAGCGATAGGAAGCATCTTTGGATAATAATCTCTTTAAAATTGGATCTGGCAACGGATGCATGCCTAGTTTCTCGCTGATGATAGAGATCCATTCGGTGCTGAGCATGGCGTACTTTCTCAAATTATTGTCACCTGTAATACTGCTGGTGCCTGCATCTTTGTTGTTGTTATTGACAAACGAGCTGCCGTATGCCATAGATGCTTGATTCAACAACTTCTTCATAATCTCCGTTTCTTCGTGTCCACACAATCTAACTGAAGCCTGTCAAATTTATGTGAATATTTCAATCAACTGTATATAATACAAGCAAAAACAATGCTTTACAAATTATGTACGTTACATTCGAAAGTCGTAATATTTTTGATTGGAATTACCCTATCTTCGCGAAATGTATCGCAACGAATTTCATGCAGCGTCCACAATGATATTAAAAGAAATCTCGAGCTTGAATATAATATTGCTCAGAAAATGCAGCTGTGCAGCACTTTATATTTTTTTGCGGTTAAAATAAAATAAATGTACACTTGGAGAGTTAGCAAGAGCAGGCAAGAGAGAGAGAGAGAGAGAGAGAGAGAGAGAGAGAGAGAGAGAGAGAGGAGAAATTATTGAGTCCAAGAGAGCTTCTGTTTGAGACTTTTGTACGTACAGGCCGGTATATTTTAATTCGATAGATGATAATAATAAATGTTTTC